AAGTCCCCAGTTTGATAGATTTGCCCAGGTATATGCGGTCATGGAAAATTACACCATTATGTCATGGGACAGTAAAAATTGAGGGCAGGACCTATGACAATGTTGTATAGCACTGAAAAAGGAGATGCCCTGAGATGAGTCTTCAGTCTTTCCATGGATGACTCGGGCTTTGTTTTTCTGTCAAGAGAATAAAGCTCTATTTCTACTGTCAACTTTGATGAATCCTGCCTGTTATTTTTCCACCCGAAGGATAATATTTTTGGACCTAATTTGGACTTAAAATCTGAGATGTTGGAAACAATCTTCTGATCAAAGAAATACCTGTTTGACTGATACCCAACAATCAGAAGAACACTCTCATCCCTCCATATCAGTGGTTCTCAAACTTTTTCTGGCATGCCCCCCTCCAGAAGCCGGAAAAAGTTCCCACTCCATAATTTTTGTCAAACATTAACAATGGTAGGGGATGCAACTACTAAAAGAGGTCCAAGCTGGTTAGCTTAGCTTAGCATAAAGACTGGAAACAGGGAGGGAAACCACTGGCCTGGTTCAATCCGAAACTAACAATATGTGTCTACTAGGACCTCAAATGCTCACTGATTACACTGATTATTAACCATTTGTGGGGTTTTAAGAGGATAACAGATTCTTGTCCATGCACAAGAAATCTCAATCTTCTCATTTGATTCTCAGCAAGAAGAGAAAAAGCACATTCTTTTTCAAATGTTGAACTATTCATTTAAGCGACAACATTATGCACAAAAACCTTTTCACTCAAAAAAACTATTTTTAGAACTATTAAAGTCACAATCTGCAATCGAGTCCACTTATTTCTACATTTTTACATGAGGTGAGGAATGACAAATTTTTAGTTGAGTATTCAGAAAACTGATACAAATGAGAGTTTTAACCATAAAACCAGGTCCAAATATCAAACTATCCCTGATAGCAGCGAGGATCATCTCTCCAAACACAGAGAACTTTTCTCTCTCGTCTCCTTTTTTTTCTCTGATATTCCCTCTTCCTGCTCTGGGAGAGGCTGTGTCTAATTCCAGATGGGGCCCGGAGGCCGGATGCACTGTGGGCTCATGGGTATGCCCTTCCTCACGCCCTTGCGCCCTCTCTCTTCCCCCTCCTCCCACCCTGGCCCCTTCCTCTGACACACCCTGACAGGTTCGAGCTGGGTGGTCCAATCCGACAAACGACACAAACCAGACGTGAGGCACATCGTATATCTTCAATAGATGCCTATTCCTTGCATGCAGCCTAACAACAACTCAAGATGCACACTTATAAACACTAACAGTGTTGAAGAAAGAACAGGATGTTATGTAATAATTGCTACAGACACTTGTGTAATCAGTGCAGAGCTGAGAAAAGGCTGAGGTTGCAGAGAGAGTGAAGAGAGAAGATGGAGATGCGCCCAAAGATGAACGAACCTAATTATTAAAACTCTTACATGTCCCCGACTCTGTGAGAAAATTCATCCGACAGCCTTAATCATGTGGTACTCTTCACATTGTCGCAGCGGCATAAACGTTTCTGCAGTTTCCTCTAAAGCAACGTTTGCTTACATAATGTTGCAACGTAAATTAATAAGTGGAAGAATAAATCACGTTCTTTTGTCAGTTTCAAGTGTTGTGCAGGAATATGAATCACAGAAGGGACAAAGGGCATGATGTATTATAGTAGAGCTGTAGATTGTTTTTTGCAATATTTAATTTGGTCTCATAAGTTTCCAGAGGCCATAGTCACTTCTTCAAGTTGTTTGTTTTGCTCGACCAACAGTCTAAACCTTAAAAGATTCACAGTGATTAAAAGTAGGAAAAAGCTGCAAATCCTGACGTTAAAGGTTAAATAAGAAATTCACTTTCCACTGGATGTCACACAAGAGCACCAGCATCTTAGACAACAACAGTCGGACAAGAATGAAATAAAACTCTCTAAAACTGTCTGTTGTCAAACAACAACACTGGTTTGGTAGAAAAAAATACTTAATTCACCGAGCTAGATGATAAAATCTTTGTTAAATGTGGAAGGTTAGCTTACATTACGTGCTGCAACAATGTGGATATAAATTTAAAAAATCTACTTTGCAAATGTTTTATGACAAAGGAAATGTATTTAGGGTGTAAGGAGAATTGTTTTTTTACTCCACAAGGTAATATGTTTAAACATGTAGATGTGTCCACATTCATACATTCACACAGAAATACCGTCAGAAAGACATATTTGAGCATTTTTGCAATCATATGCACAGTCGCACCCTTCCTCCAATCTACACACACAACCATCTTCCTTGCTCCCTGTCCTATTTTCTCAGATGCCGTGACCCATTTCAGCACGCTGCTCAGAAATGGGGTCTAAATCAACAACACAAGATGGTCCTGAAAAGCTGCAGGCCTCCTGCCGCTCCACAAACACCGTCTCTCCCACCTTTGTCTGCCATTCTATCTGCTTCCCATCCACATAGTCTAAGTATAAATGGCTGGAGAACCTGTGTACTGACCGAGTATAATGGATGTCTAATGAAGAATGTTTTGCGTTCAGTCCATTTGCAGAAACGCTCATGGGAAAAGAGAGCTAGAATGCGTATCTCTATACACAACTCCATAAAAACTTCATATGATTTAATGAGTGCGTTCGTATGAGGGCGCAAGACGTGTCAGTATGTCTTCAAGCCTCATATCTTTTTTATGCATCATATGGATGTCGATGGGAGATGGTGGTCTGCACATCAGCCCAAACGAGAGGCCCACCTTGAAGCCGATTTTGCCCTTCTTGCAGCAGAGGCAGGCCAGCATGAGGAAGACGAAGGTGAAGAGGCCCGAGAAGGAGATGGCCACCACAGCCAGGGACGACGACCAGGACAGATCACTCAGCGGAGCGCCATCTGCAGGACACATCAAGAGTTACAGAGATTGTTAGCTGAGGCGTAAGACTAGTAGGAGACTCTGCATTGTTTGTGTGAGCTACAATAATGTGATCAAATGCATATTAAAGCATGTATGACATATGAGAGCAATTACATTACAACAATAAAGGGATGAATGTAGTGTATTGATTCATTTTATAGGGAGGTTTTTCCATCTCATCATATCTAATGTATCCTATGTACAGTAACTCACAAACTGAACTGAATCTCAGGAGATTACATTTCCATTTAAGAACATTCAGATGGCTGATTTATAGCCTGTCATCGTGTTTTTGCTCAAAATAAAATGCTCTGAAACATTATCGCCCTGATCCAGCACACAATGAACAACATTACACCTCCGCCGCAGAAAACCAGGCAAAAAATGTAGGTGCTAATTTATCTACATTTATTACACCTAGCAACAGAGGCATATCTTTTCTGTTCTTCATAAAATGTTCCTATAGTGTAAAACAGCAGTGTGGAAGTGATTTGCAAATAAAGCAATTGCTTAACTCTAATGTGTTTACTTTAAATAAAAGGCACATTTTATATAATGTGGATTCAGGAGGCTGGAAGAAACCTTTGTGTTTTTCATGTGTCACTGCTACAACGCCCCAGAAACACACTTCGGCTGCAAAAACCTCTGCTTGATGTGGTAATGACAAACCAAAACCCTGAAGATAAACTTGAATATGCAATATTTATGACATTTTAATAACTTTATTTTTTCTGTTTTATTTCCCATTGTATAAATTAGGATACTGTCTTCACTATGATTGGGTGAACATGAGTGTTAATGATTCAGGTGTTTAGCATCGGTAGGCCACATTTTGTTACTTTTAAAATGACAAAATAATTGTAGTATTGTAGATGTTCTGATATCTTCCAAGCTGACTTGAAACCCACAGAGCTTTGATCGTGTCTCTCACAGGTCAGATATCTCAGTTAGCACTTATATAAGACTCATATGGGTTCAGAAGTTCAATGGTTTCATTTGAAGAAAGCTCAAATATCAACTCCAGTCAAGATCAGACTCTCACAGTGATCTTTTGGGCCAATGAACACCAAGTAAACAAGCAGTGAGAATAGCAGCTGTAGCAATAAGATTTTTTTTTTACTCTTTTTCAAGCATTTTTGACTTTGATTATTCAACAAGAGACAGAAGACAGACAGGAAACACAGAGAAAAAGCAAACATGTAACCACACAAGTTCCCCAGTCGAAGTCGATCCACTAGACAATAGTGAGTCGGTGTCATGATTTGCCTCGCCTAGATCAGTGTGTAGGGACTTTGCTTGGGAACCGGAGGGTCGCTGGTTCAAATCCCACAGACCACAGTATGGAGTGTGGACTGGAGAGCTCTTACACAATGTCGTATCACAGCTGCAGACATCGCACACGCAGTCCCCCTCCTCCCTGTCCTCCCTGTCCTTCACCCAGTACTGCCACATCAACAATAAAACATTGGATCTGCTGTATGAAACACAAAGGATGCATACAGTTCTTCACCCCCACAATACAGCCGTCACTGCTCAGAGGGGAAGCTCGAAGGAGCTGGAGTTGACTGCCACCTGGCTGTAGTATGTGAGGCTCCACTGTGGGTCTGATGCAGAACAGGAGCCCTGCAGGGTTCAGAGCTCGCTCCTCCTCTATTCAACTGTACACGACTGGGTCAGAACATCTCCAAACCTGCAGCTCTTGTGGGGTGTTCCCGGTCTGCAGAGGTCAGTACCTATCAAAAGTGGTCCAAGGAAGGAACAGAACCAGAGA